TATAAAGACTAAAAAGAATATAATTTCATTTTATCTTATATTCATATACATAAGCTTAGTCATAGAATATTATCGTTGTAAACATAAATATTGATATACTGATAATGATCAAATCAATATATTGGCCACTGATAAATGAAACGAATAACAATTAAGTACTTATGTAAACGAATATAAAAGAAACTTTCACCAGTACAAAATCACTAATAACATTTTTTAAAAAGTAGTAATAGAAATAAATTAATTATTTTTGTGTATTATATTGGCGTCCAATAAAATAATCTCATATAAGTCACATGAGTTACCGACTGTTATTTTTTGTTTGCCTTTTAGGTTTTTGTTGCCTAGGGAAAAATTTTTCCTTTTTGTTCTTATTTTTTTACTTTTTTGCAAAGAACCAACTGAAATCTTACTTTATTGTAATATATATTAAGTAATTATTTTTAAGAATGAAAATTATCTAATTTAGCCTCAGTAGTCATTATGATGTTATTAGCAAAGGATTTCAAGGAATAATAAGTAAAAATATAAAAAAACAAATTTTGCCCCTTTCTACGGTACTGTTTATCAATCACTGTGATATCTAAGTCAAGATTTTGATAACTGGTTTAAGAAACGTACGTTAGTTATTCTATGTATGAAAGAAATGTATTACATGACTTGTGCTTGTATTATTTTTCAATGTTCATATCCTTTAGTGCTAGGATGTTTATTTGTGTATTTGATGTAAGTTTATTTAATTCTAGTCTTTTACAAAACGTTAAGTAAGATGAAAAATAAATGTTCAAATGTGTTGAATAATAATTTCATTACAATAAAACGATTTGAAGCTTACTTTCTATGCCAGTGAAAATATGTATTGTAGTGTGTGCTACTTAAATCGATATAAGTAGTATATAGTGCTAGTCGGGAATAGAATGTCTGGTAGCAGAAAGTTGAGAACATCGAGAAGGAAAGGACGGGAACAGAAAGTAATTGGTATAGAAGTGAGTGGACAGTTAATTTTGGGACGATTGATTGATATTTTGCAAATTAAGTATTTACTGTATGATTCTTAGAATTTACTAAGAGATTCTTTAATTTTGTATCTCCACTTGTGTTCTTGTTCACTATAGTAGAAGTAATCAACCTTTTGGTCTTAACATGGAAATTTTAACCTCACTAGAGTTCCGAATTGATTAATTCGTGTTTAGTAATGGGTCACGAATAAACCTAACTGTCATCCATACTCATTGGTAATATCTGTTACGATTTCAAAATGATTGAACTTTATAAGCCAAAACTACTCACCTGAACTTATGAAATTCTTCACTTTTGTAAAGTAGTAAGTAATGAGTGATTGCATATTAGAATAGGAACGTTCTCCTCATTCGGAATGGTTTACCAGCTGATATCAATCTGTGATGGAAACTAATTTCACCCTGGTTCTTGTAAATGTATCGACAGCTGATGGTACAAACTTTGTAGTAGATGCTTAATTATATAAACTGTTTTCAGAGGACTTTATATCAGTATTTAAAAAAGCTTTTAAGAAAAGATGATTTTAGGTGAGTTTTAACAAAAAACACCCACTTTATTATACCTCCTTGCCTCTTGTTATTCTAACTTAATAAATATTGGCATTATTATTTAGTTCATTATTCTGTTCCATTAATATTTAAAACAGTTTAGGTGAATTTGTAGTAACTAGACACATTGAAAATGTCTGAATGTTCAAAAACCCTTCACAATCAACTTTTATTAATAAATAACCTGTGAGTAAACTGAGAATATTAAATCACTCGGTTAAGTGTGCGGAGTCAAGCCCCTTCGTACTGTGTTCCATCCGTTTTAAGGTTGGTCTGTCCTTATCGGGTGGTGCCGATTGGATTTTCTGGAAATGGTTTCCGTTTTGCAAGGCTCACAAACCCACTATGTGGATGTGATTTTGTAGGAAAATCATTACCCACAAGTCTTAGTGCTCGTGAGTCGCATCAAGGGCAACTATACGCTATATGCATGCCACTAACACAAGTTTTTTTCATGCATCGTTTAGCATATATATAGGTATGTTCACGCGTATGAAAGGTTAGGCAGTCACCGCTCCGTTCAAACGTATTCGCTATAACTGACTATCACTGGCGCATTGCATGCATACCAGTTATACAGAGGCTTTTGCCCTTGCACCTCATGACAAACACGTAGGCATAAGCGCTCCTCCGGGGAAGGTTGATAGTCACTTCCCCCTCTTATTTGCTACCGCATTTTTTGATTTCCGTCAACCTGAAATATTAGGCCACTGACTTTGTTGGACATAGAGCAGACATTTTTTCAGCTTACATTCCTGGTGCTAACCGACGCACGTACTCCTTGGATATACTCAGTTACGTAACCCACAAAAGCCTAGACTAATCCAATTCATATACATAAGCATAAACATCACACAGCCAGCAATATTTTATTGAGCCTCGAATTGGGAACCCAATTGTTCTGGTTTACAGCACAGTAGTGGATTATATCTACCTTAGCCGAACACCAAAATTAGCTAACAAGGTTGCTCTTACCACTCAGCAGCGCCACTTTGAGGCATTGGGTCGGGTATCGTAGATTTTCTTCAAAGACATAGGTACTATAAATGGAAATTAGAAGCATTAGAAATGAATATTTCTAATGGCTGGGTGCTTGTTACAAGTTCTGAAGTTGTCATTTCATACTCGGAATAAATATATGATAAATCTTTTGTGGTTTTCAGCCTAAAAATCTGACCGATATTTATAGAAACGTATGTTGCTTGAAATTTGATTAGTTGAACTCCGGATAACTGGTCTCATAGCCCCATTGTTACTCCACCTGATGCTATCCGACAGCTTGGGATCTTAAGCACGTGAGGAGAATCATACTAGAAAGCAACAACTATCTATTATGCAAGTGGGATTGAGTGTCTGTTTAAATAGTTTTAGTTCTAGAGACATTTGTCACCAAACGAAATATGAAAAGCATGTGAAACATGTTCCTCACTTATACTGAAGTCATTCAGCGCATATATGTTTGGGTTTACCGAGTTGTAGAACTTGTTGAAACCGCATTTTTCATTGGCAAATGAATTCAAATAAACTACAGATATGATGTAATTAGTTGGTTAAAACAATGTCGTAGAAATTTTTAAACTACTTTTTTAATCTTAGTAGTTGTATATAAGTACCTGATTTAGTCCCAAAATTCTGTCAAGTACATAGAAACCATAACCCAAGCGTATGCATATCGATGTGTATTATAATTGTTCTATAAAACATCATAAAATCCACTGATGTATATCATCATAATATCATAGTGATTAGCTGATTTACGCGAATCAATGTTGTGGTTTCATGACGGAAACCAAATAAACAGAATTCACTGAAGCATTTAAAAACATAAACTTTTATTGTAATAAAACGTTGTAAATCTTTTTCTCATTGATGTGGCAGTTGTTGTGATCTGTCAATATTTAAGCTCGTTAAATAATTTATAGAGAGATAATAATTTTTATTTTCATATAATTTTGAATGAAATCATTAAAATAAAACTATTTTACAGATGGGAGAGAACAAACCAGATTCCAGAGGGGGAAGAAATCAGGAAGAAGCACTAGAAGTGGATAGGACAAACTCTGACGGAAGCACCCAAATGCGTAAAAACGCAAGCGCCCATCTGGAATACTCAAGGCCAAAGGAGAAGAGGAAGACCAGAGAACACATTACGCCGAAAAATGGAGACAGAAATGAGAAAAATGAACAACATGTGCACAGGATTAGAAAGGCTCAGAACAGGGTGGGTTGGAGAGTGCTGGTCGGCAAACTATGCTCGATTGAGAGTAACAGGCATAAGTAAGTAATTTCACAGATATTTTTGTTTAAATAATCCAATTTTTAAATGGTTTATGATTGATGGAATTCTAAGTAAATCTCAAATATCTCAAATAATATATTATGAGTAACCTAAGGATTATATTATTGGTAATGTGTTGAATTCAGTTCGATTGACGAGTCTCTAGATACATAGACTATCATTTTAGACGCAGACAATCATGGTAAACTAATGATGAAAATAATAATAATGGCGATAGTATTAATGATGGCTTAATTCAATGTTATAAAGTTAGTATGGAAAATGGAATTCTCAGTGTAGTTTCTCTTACTTTTCTTATGCGTTACAAATATGTATGTACATGAAATAAGTGAATAAAATTGTGCAAAACAAAGTCAATCATTTTTTCAAAAGTATAAGAATCTATACAATTATGGATTAACAATAATTTCAGTAGCATACGTTTTTAATTATGTCAGCTTCAACAACTTGTCTGTCAAGTAGTAGAGTTTCGGAGAGAACATCAAATTCAGATATGCGATTTCCTGGTTTATAAAACTAGGTGGCAATCAAAGTTTAATGGCATTTTTTCCTTCTCAATCCATCTAGTTTTAGGGAGGTAAGTCGGTAAAATTCTCCACGAGGATTGACAGGCGTAAGTATGTAATTAAGTAGGTAAAATCTCGTTAACAAGCATCAAAACACATTTTAAGGTAGAGAATGATAGCACCCAATATGTCATCCAAGAATTCTATTACAACTTCATTATTTTCAGACAAACGAAAATTCTCTAACAGAAGGTAAAATTATTACTCTGTTTTGTTACGTTGGAAATTTTCTTCCGTAAATTATGTTGTGGATTCAAATAGTAAATAAGACATTTACCACTGACTGTTTCCTAAGGCAAGGGGATTTAGTTAAATGAATCACACTACTTATTATTATGAAGTAGCATAACCTGATTATATCAAATTAATGTTATGTATATATATATATATTCGAAACCTCAGTGAAGAAATCATGCAGGTTATTATGAACAAACATTTAAAACAAATGACTTCATATTGTGAGGAATTTTGAAGTGATTAAATAGCACAGGTATATCTATATTAATAATTCATAAAATTTAAGAAGGAATACTGACATCATTTTATTTAAAGCGTTTCATAACCCACCTTATCCAATCCGCCTTGACGTTATCTGATTCTGAAGATTGACAGTAAGAATTTTCGTTAGGCAATAAATTCATTCGACCAGCATTTAACCTCATTAATGTCGGTGATACTCTTGTTAACTTTCCTGTTGTAACTGATAAAACGCTTCTTCTAACATAACTAAGTGCGTCAATTTTTAATTGAATAAATCGTGTAGCACATGATGCACATCTATCATTGGCAACTTTAACAAGTGGATGATCTGGTAGTTTCAAACTTTCAAGAATTTGTGCTGTAATTGCCGGTGAAAGAGGAGTCTAAATGACAATAAATAAATAAGAAACAATTATTTGGATTTACCAATTAGACAATGCAATGCTAAAAAGTTAAAATTACTATATACATGTTTACCGTAAAATCTTATTCAACTCAAAAATAAATTAATCACTTATGTGAGTCAACGTTGATAACAGAAAATCAACTAAACTTATTTATTGATCTTAGCAATATCCTGAATAGATTTATTCTATCAATATTTTATAAATTAAGAAAACAGTGATCCGAATAGGGAATTGTGGAGATTGTAATAACTTTAACAGTTGAATTCATTAATTGATCTAAACTAGACCACCATTAAAAACCTGGAAGCACTTGACGGCCAATCCATCCCTAGTAGGGGACTCCTCAACAGTGCACTACCGCAATCCTGTGCACTGGACTCAAACCAGCGACGTTCAGTTTCGCATGCGAACGCCTTACTTCTAAACCGTTGAACTGGTATCCAACGGTGTTAATATCTAACAGTTATCCACCTCAGACAATGGGTGAAGAGTTGTTCTAGATCACGGGTCCACTAGATATAGGTGTTAAATGTTTTGAATGCCGGCTCTGTTTAGACCAATTATTGAATTCAACTGGTAAAATGTTAAGCACTAATCAAGGGTCATTGCACACATTTATTTAGTACAACTGGTTCCCGTTAATTAGCTAAAAGAAATAACAATGCAATATTTTGTTCTTTGGAGGAACATTAATTAAAATTGAAAGTTTATTGCCTTTCTGGTAGTGAGCTGCATGAAATGAACATAAAACATAGAAATAAAATTTGATAATCTACAAACAAAAAAGAGAAACTGAAAGAACTCAATACAAACAACTTCAAAAGATACAAAAATGTTTATCAGGGAATATTTCAAAAACACAACATATATCTACAATTTAGAAATCATCACATGATATTCAGATGGCTGATAGAGTTAAGTAATAAGTAGAACAATTTCCTTAGCTGGTGTTTGGAGGTAGTCGACAGGAAACCCTGGACTCGGGTTTCGTGCTACTTGGCACTCGTCAGCAAGGTGTACCTGTAATCTTGAGGGAACTGGTGCTCTCTGGCGGATTCGATCCCATGTCACTCGGCTTCACAGTCAGAGACGTTACTACTGAGCTACCCGGGACGCGACCAACCTCCTGTAGGACTGAGATGTAATCACAATTGATTGATTACTGGGTGCTGCACGCAGTGCCGAGTCACGCAGACTGGTGGCCACATTGTATCATGGTCGATAGCATTCAATCTGCACTAACAATAAGGACTTGACAGGACATTGATCACCACCCAGTGATCAATCAATTGTGAGAACCATTTCCTCTCAGAAGTTCTACGATCGTCTTAGAATATCTCATACATTTACATTAAAGAGTTCATCTGGTCTTTTTTCTAGACAAAAATCATTTTGGAAAAAAAACGTTGAGCCTTCAATTTTTCTTTGAACACAATTCAGAATAAAACAGAGATTATGTCTTCATGGTAATTCTATTACTCTTGTGAATAGAGATGATGAGTCAATGGGGTGTATATTCTTTTTCCATTATAAATATATATAAATTAAAATACAAAAATTTATACTAATCAAGCCCATCCTTTTGACTCAAATAAATCTAGATATACAATAATTAACTTGAATATTTATGATTGTATTATAATTCAAGATTCTTAATATCCCATTACATCTAAAATAAACCCACTAACTGAACTATTTCTGTAAACTTTTCTACGAATCAAATCATGTAGTAGAATTATGAAAAAGAATGTCAGTATAATCAGGTATTCATAAACATTATCTTCCTTGATGGTATGATGCTAAATGTATAATGACTGTGATTATCCCTTGGGAAATGCTTATTTCCTTTTTTTGTTTCAGTTTACAGACATGAATCATGAGTGGTGTTATTGTTTATTAAAGATAGTGAACATTTAAAAAGAACAAGGAATAATAAATATAATAATATGAACATAAAAATCATTACACCCACTCTAAACAATAATAATTTAATAAAATGAAATTATTATGTCTTAATATTTAAGAAGAAACAGTTTGATGTCATGTACTATTTTTAAAATGTACTTGATAAAAAAAAATTTTACTGGTTGGAATTATGAGTCAATTAAAGCTAGACCACCATGGAAAACCCGGAAGCACAGGACGGTCGTTTCGTCCTACTATGGGACTCTTCATCAGTGCACATCCACGATCCCGCACCTCGCGAGATTCGAATACAGAACCTATCAGTCTTGATCGTGTATGCGCAATGCTGAGAAGTCCCACAATTAGACGAGACGACCATTCAATGCTTCCAAATTTTCCATGGCGAACTAGCTAGAATTGACTCATGATTTCAACCAATGAAATTTCTAAAATATCCACAAAATCCCTACTGATAAAAAAATATTTATCAGTTAGATTGATGAAATTTTTTAAGACCTAAAAATACATAAACTTATGAATGAGGTATCGTTCACTAAGTTATATATAAACATAAAGACAATGAATATTTTGAAAAACTTTGCTTTTTATTGGACTTGAAAACACGGATCAATTTATTTCACTTCCTATTGTTTACTTCAATCTTCCCATTCATGTTTTCGATTAGAATCGATCAGTCTCTTATTGGCATACGTACATTCTGTGCGGATTGAACCGATATTGCCTCAGGTCACATGCTTCATAAGCAAAGATGGATAGTGACTAGAAGTGGAATCCAGGATCCGCGTTTTGTCCTATTCAAGACTCGGCAGCCCGATGTATCTGCATCTGAGTTGATGTTCACCCTGAGACTCAAACTCAGTACTGTTCGCTTGAGACTCCATCGCGTTATCCAGTTAACAATCGAGTCCTGATAGCTGATAATTGGATAACGTGATGGAGTTTGAAGAGAACTGTATTGGGTTTGATTTGCAGAGTGAACATCAACTCTGATATGCAGGTACATTCAGATGATGAGTCTCAAATAGGATGAAACGTGTGTACTGAATTCCACTGCTAGCCACTATCTATTTTTATTTACATTGTTTGGATATGTGAAATTTTTTGCGTTTATAGTAGTAAACTTGTTTAATGAAACCACTCGCAGCATGGAATTAACTTTTACCATTGTATATTTTAAAATATCTTTAAAAATTTACTATACTTAGATTATATCATAAGATAAACCTGAGATTGATAAAACTCTTATTATAATAACACATTCTAACATTCCTTAATTACATTACAATTAAATATTAAAAAAATTAACATAACTGCTTGAACATTCTCTTATAGTTTTTAACATTATTTAATAATGAATTTCATTGTAGACAGTTTTAATAAAGCTAATAAAGTAAAAATAAAAAAAGAGACATATATTGTTGATTGGGCAATTAGATTATTTTTATGTTATTCAATTGAGTTCAGTTCGGTCAATGGGAATTGCTATTTAAATACGAACGGGATAATTTCAATATAAACAGAATCGATTACAAATTGGCACAATAGAAAACTGGCACAAAACTTTCTGTTAATCATTCATAGCTGAAAGGTAACACTTTAATAAATAAAGAGTGAATGAAAATGTGATATTTAGACAAATGAAGACAAACTGAAATGATTCCATTTACATAGTAATGAAAACACGACACTGGAACATAAGAATGTTGAGAAACTGAAAAAAAATAGATATCATTGAGGAAATACGAATTAGAAAAATTAACACACGAATTTCAGTGAAGGGATCTCTTTTCAACGAATTTATTATCAAGCTGTACAATCGTATACATATATGAAAATTTTGTTTTTGTAAAACTTGGTTCTATAAGGAGGAAAGGAAAGCAGTTAGGAGTTCTATACTTAAACACCTAATCGACTGTAACCATTCCACTGATCCAAGAAATGAATTTAAGGTTGTTTATATGATTCGTTCAAATCTACCCAGATTTCTTCGCATCCAACTTTTAAAAATAGCCGAAGCTCTTACCATCCAGGAGCTTAAACCAGAACTATGCGTACAAAAGAAGTACGTCTTATCGTTATCGTTACCTTGACCTTAAGTATTTTGATTATCCTATTATTATTATTATTATTATTATTATTATTATTATTATTATTATTACTGCATTCTCCCCCTTTACTTATATCTTATATTCTCATTGTTTTATTAGTGAATACTCATCATATCACCATATTTATTTATTTTTACACCTCTATGACCTTTAATTATTATTATAACAAAAACATTTTAATCATCTTATTATATTCACTAAGTCGATTGTTATTATTCATATTACGTAATCTAGTATTATAACCTTTTTATTAACTGTGTTCACATTTCCTCACGGAATTAGTACTTTTACAAAAACAAAAAAATTTTCATATATATGCGATTGTACAGCTTGATAATAAATTCGTTGAAAAGAGATCCCTTCGCTGAAATTCGTGTTTTAATTTTAATGTTTAAATGGGATTAGAAAAATGTTAACGAATTTACCCTTTAAAGAAAGAACAACATGAATTAAATAACTTAAGATCTTTGAAATTTTACCACTGAATATTCTATCAGATTTCACAGATTTTAGTGCCTACAGTAAGACAATTACCCACACAAATAAAAAAAGTCTAATTAAGTAATTAAATACTGCTAGTAAGTATAGCAAGTAAGCACATGGTAATGGTTATTTCTTGTCGTCAAATTCTAAACCTACTGAAAGTCAAAAGTTATACACATCATTATGTCAGAAATTTATATATGAGACTTGATTATCGTATTTTCATTCAGATTGAACGTGAGAATTTTAAATTTAATGCTTTATTAGTATCCATGGTAACATTCACTGATATCTTTATCTATCCAAATATGTATTAATCTGTGTAAAAAAATTGTTTTTATGATCAAGACGAGAAAACAACAGTAAAATTAACTTGTAGAATAAATTCGATTTCACAAAAACAGCTGATTGTAACACAAATGATTTTTATGGAAATTACTTTTATTCAAAGATACCGTTGATATAATCACAGTGTATTAATTAAGATATCCGAAGGAAAATTATTCATTAATTCATACTAATTCATCAAGATTCTAGTATTAGCTATTTAGTCAAATGTATACTGTAACATAACTCACAAATAATGTGTGTAATCGTATAAAAGATTTGTAAATAGATATATGTTATATAGTAATTGATAAATGATGTTTGGTCAGATTAACGATAATATTTGTTCAAAGTTGATCGCTATACAGTTATTCTTAAACTACTATAATATATTCAGACTTTTATAATCATTTAATGATGATTACAATAGTTGTAATATCTTATTATACGTCATATCACCATCATTACATAGTTATAAAGTATTAACAGCCTAAAATATAAAAGCCTCCAACAAACCTACAAAAATATTAACATTTAACCTGTTCTAATTCGATACAAAATAGTTCATGCATAATTTTATCCTAAAATCCTTAATTTAAGTCACACAAAAAAGAAGAACCGCCATTCAGTACTTCCAAGTTTTCAATGATGGTCTAGCATAAATTGACTCGTGAATTGAACTTTAAAAATACTACAATATCGAGAAATCCCCAAAATTGATTTTTTTTCTCTCTTTTTTTTACTATAAAATAAAAGTAGTATAGACAAAAACAATTTAAAAATAACCTTAACATCTGTTAATAATGTAATGATAACCACCAAGATATGCATAAATACAGGTGAATATGAAAATAATAATCTTTAGTAATCTTATCTTGACGTTATACATTTATTACTTTTTTTGTATTGTCCATAGTTCCCTTTGTATCTTAAGACAAATACAAACGAGAACATAAAAGAAAATGTATACAGACGGATAAAACTAAATGTATGAATAAAGAAAATAAGACAATGATGTGGAAAACTCAATTATTGGACGTTCATGATAAATCACCATGACTGACTAAGTCTAAAATTACTTTCATCAAAGAGTAACTTCAGTTGATTGACAGATATTTTACTATGATTTGAGGATCTTTTTTTAAAAAATGATAAACATAAAAATTACACAAAATCACATTCTGAATCTTCAGATTTTGTCAAAGTTGAATAATAGCTTATTTTCTCACTAATTTCTCAAGTTCAAATGATAACTGCTTCTCGATGAAAAGGAGTTTTAAGACAGTAAACTGTCAGTGACGTCAACTTGACGTATCACAAATGGAATTAAGTTTAAAATTAAACTAATCAGCACTCAAGAGAATAACTCAGTTGCATTTTACTTGTTTAAGGACAACGATGTTCAGGATTTAACGTTCTGTTAGGTTTTTATAGTGGTTATCAATACCAAACTAAATGATTGATATTATAAGCAAAGATAGATAGTCGTTAGCACTGGAATCCAATACACGCGTTTCGTCCTATTTAAGACTCATCGTCTGAATGTACCTGCATATCACAGTTGATGTTCACTCTGCAAATCAAACCCAATACAGTTCTCTTCAAACTCCATCACGTTGTCCAATTAGTAAATATCAGGACTCGATAGTTAACTGGATAACGCGATGGAGTCTCAAGCGAACAGTACTGAGTTTGAGTCTCAGGGTGAACATCAACTCTCATATGCAGACACACTAGGCTGCCGAGTCGTGAATAAGACAAAACGCGTGTGCTGGATTCCACTTCTAGTCACTATCCATCTTTGCTTATGAAGAATGTGACCTGAGGCAATATCGGTTTAATCCGCACAGAATGTACATATGGCAATAAGAGACTGATCGATTATAATGGAAAACATGAATGGGAACATTGAAGTAAACAATAGGAAGTGAAATAAATTAACCGATGTTTTCAAGTTCAATAAAAACCGAAGTTTTCCAAAGTATTTATAGTGTTTTTGGGAAGATTCGAGTAAATAATACCATGTGAATTCAAGCTTCACCCTATTACTGTTTATTGATAAAATCGGAGATCTTCAACAGCGAAAGTGAAAATGATGTGGAGTTTAATGTAAGGAACAAAAATAGCTACACATTAACATTTTATTCAAGTTACCATGATCTAAATAAAACATGAAACTTCTATTTTTATTATCAGTTTCCCAGAATGATACTTTTCGTTTTATAACTGTTTTTCACAAAGTATCCAAATATGACCTTATAATTTGGTTACTACAAAGATAAAATTATTTCTAATATTTGATTAAAATTAATTCACTTATCAGTTTAAGATACTGGATTCCCTTCAAATAAATTACGTCTTAGTTAATACGTTGCAGGGTTTTAAAAACTTTACCAACCATTTTTCTTAAAAGACATTTTATATTTAATGAACACTTAATTCACTTTCTATTATCATCCTACATTTTTTAAGTATTAACTTGATACATTATGAACTTAACCTCGTACTTTATAAATTCAATGACTTGAATTATTTGGTCAGATACACCGTTCATGTTTTTAGTGGAATCCATCAGCTTCTATAATCATATTTGTAAATATTTAACTTTCAGACACAATTCTGAACAAGTATGAATTATTAACATTATACATTCCCAACAACTACTGTTCTGGCTTTCACATAATCTCGAATAAACTCATAATGACAGAAAGAGAATTAATCTAATAAAATACGCAATTAACGAGATATCATATTTCAAAAGTATCAAAGGATTATCCTTTACAAATTTATAGATCCATTATAACTTACTTTCATTAAGATTACTGAATAATATGGTGAACCAGGAATGATTAAATCGTATGCTTGTCGTATTAAATCTTTTAAACACATTAAACATGCATTACATCGAGTTACTAACACTGGAATAGAATCAATTGAACCAGCATGTAATATAGATTGTAATACAGACATTGTTGTATTTTTACAATTAAATCTTTTATTCGTTATTGAAATATGATCAGATTTGTTTAGATAATGATTTGAATGAATATTATTATTTATAGATAACTTTGAATTCTGTAATATTTGCTTTTCATGTAAATCAATATCTGTTTGTAATTGATTCAAATCAACTGATTGATGATTTTGATTGATAGAACTCATATGTTTGTTTCTTTCCCTTTTAATTAGTTAATCCACAAATGATTATTTCATATTTTATTGGCAGAAAATTCAAAGTATTGAGCATCTAAATTGATAAGGAAAACAAAACAATACAGTAAGTATAAAACAATAAAATATAGTAGTTTGTATTTTGTTAATACACTACATTCTGTGATTTCCTTATGTAATCTTAAAAAGTATATTTGTTTACGATTAATGTTTAATGTCATATATATATATATATCAAATTTAGACGAAAGGTCTTATTTATATATTGGTTGTTTGAATCTTCCCATTGTTGTTTATGACAGTAATTGATCAGTCCTTCTTTGGCACATGAGTATTCTGTACGGATTTCTTCGATATTCCTTTTAAGCCACAAAGATTGTTTAGACAGAGGTATTTAGTGGCTAGGAGTGGAATTAAGAACACACATTCTACCTTATTTGGTACTGGTCATATGTATGTACATGCGTTCCAGAGTTGATGTTCATTCTGGAACTCAGGACTCAGTAGCTAAGTGGATAACACAATGGTGTTTAAAGTAAATGGTACTGAATTCTAGTCTCCTAGTGAACATCAACTATGGGATTCATGTACATCTAGCAGACAAGTTCCACACAGAACAAAATATGTGTCCTTTATTCGATTACTAGACATCATCCATTCTCTGTTTAAAATGTTCTATTCAATATAGTTTACGTACACCTCTTTATTGCGTTTGGCTCCTAGGAATGAACTAAACTTCTATATTCAAGAGAAATTCGTATAATCTCTACCTTGATGATCAAAACACTGTCCTTCTTAACTAAGCTTTACTCTACACATAATTCTTTGAATATGTTAGTGCACTCATTTTCATATTTTCATAGTGACCGTTAAGTTGAAATCAATCTTATCCACGTTTCACTTAAATAAAGCAATATCAAGATAAATAAAAACAGTGCTAGGACTTTGTGTGAGGTGATATAATTCAGTTAAGCTCAGAAGAAGGTTCCATTTTAATAAATCCATGAAATGAATAGAATAATAAAATAACTAGTAAAACATCGATACAGTGAGTTTATAATAAATGTTATCAGAGTAACGCAACAACATCAAAATACAAATTCATTATGATATATGGAAAAAACTACATAATACACGTTTTCTAAACAACTTTATACAAATGTTTGTAAAGAAAAACTTATAAAACCACAAATGAACTCATTGGTTCATCATGTCTCTAGCTTCAAACTGGTTTACCATCTAAGTTATTACTTGAAAAATTGTTTATTAAAAGTGAGCGAATGACAACTTAGTGGAATAAGGCTTAAGCACCTGTATCAAAGTCTGTAACTTCAAGTTTCTACTTATGTTAGGATCTTTTATAAACACTTTTGAAGAGTTGTGTACAAGAACAAAATATCTGTTCCTTAGCTATCGGCTAACTAAAGCCTATTCTTAATTTTTTTAAAAATCCAATACACATCAATCTCTAAAAGTTTTTCCCGCTATGAATGTGTCTAACATTTTCATCGAACACACATAAATATGAAGTAGATGAATCAACCTACTTGTTATCAAACTATTTCATAACCGATAAATGTACCTTAATAAATATTAATGTAAATAATATGAATAAGAATTATTCATTCAAACTGATTACCTAATCACACAAGTTCATCAAACGTATTAACAAATAATGTTTAACACAAAAAGAATCGTTTAACATTATCAGTATTATATTTCACTAACTCATGACGTCTAAGTTAGTCTATATAATAAGTGTATCTTAGTTTTATTTATTAAAAATGATGCTTTGTAATTTATAGAAAATCAATCATTTATGTATAAGAGATTTGATTTGCCATTTTTATCTTAATAAGCAATTTTTTTATTATGTCTGACTCATGTACCCATAAAAAAAAAAATTTATGATTAACGTTCCCAAAAGAATAGTTGATATGGTAGCTATGCTATTCGATTCACCAGGTCAGTTTTTAGTAATAATACAAATAAATGTGAATAATTGTTTTCAATAACTTCATCATCAGGCTCTACAGTTATAAGTCCATAATTATAATATTTTACAAAGGCCAAAAATAAGGCATGTATTGATGAATTCGACAATGTTACGTGTTAAAAAATGGTAAACGTTTGCATCTGTTACGATATATATATACTTCAAAATTGTATTATTTGACAAATTAGAAAGGTCATTCAATAAAGGTCAGGATGATTTGGAGTAAAGTGTTCAGTCACCATAAGTATAATAGTATGAAAATGCAAAAAAAATTGTGTGAATAAAATGCATAGTAGGAGAATTTAATCTTGTCAATTGAGATAATAATAATAATAAGATTTAAACAGTTAAGATCATGAGTCAGTCGAAGTTAGACCACCATGGAAAACCTGGAAGCACTGGACGGCCATTTCGTCATAATGTGGGACTCCCCAACAGTGCGCATCCACGACTCCATCCCCCAAGCGAGATTCGAACCCAGGACCTGTCAGTCTCGCGCCAGGCGCCTAACCAACTAGACCACTGAGCTGGCCAGCATCCAACGGTGTTGATGTCTAACTTCAACTAATCCACGAAATTGAGCTACACATCCATCATTGTCATCAGTGAGTTCCTATCTCACAACAGACCTGGTTGAGGAGTCCCATACTAGGACGAAACGGCCGTCCAGTGCTTCCAGGTTTTCAATGGTGGTCTAGCTTCAACTGACTCATGATTACAATCTGTGAAAATTTCTAAAAATCTCCACAAAACACATTCTGATGATAATAATAATAATAAGATTGTTATGTGAATATAATATGTAAAAACAGGGTGTTATCAAGGTAATTACGATCAACGAATTAGGAATGATGAATGTGAAGATTAAGATAGAGATTATCAAAATTAATGATAATAAGGTAAATAAGGTAAATAAATGAAATAAAGGAAGGGGGTAAGAGGTTTATAATATTCAGTCTAGGTATTCGGTGACAGAGAAAGCTTCCACAATGGCGTACGTGCATAAACTCTCTGTCTTCCCTGAAACCTTGAGATTAATATTACTTTATACATTTCTTTCTAATTCTTTCTTCCTTCACAGTATCTTTATACACAATCTTTCCTTTATATATTACTACCCTTGAAGTAACTACTTCTATGAATCCGGTGTTCATCTTGTGCTAATGAGGTGTGACGACTTGGACTGATGAATATATTTGCCTGGTGCTACGTTGTAGCTAACTGACTGGCCGATTTGATAGTAAAGCACACTGTGACTTTAATGCAGAAAACTAGAATTTTCATGATAGTGATATTGTGGTTGTAGTCTAAAATAAAAAGATTTACTATGCTTTTTCAGCTTTTAAGTAATTGGTATGAATTTGTAACTAAAACTATCATGAAAAATGTACACAGTACGAATAAAACAAATTAGATGTCAAGCTTTCTGTAATCATTCTTACAAAAATAAAATAAATCCTGAATTATGTTAATAAATAGGTTAATAGTAAAATGAGTCCACAGTAAAGATAACAATAATATAAGTAAGAAGTACAATGAACGATGGTTATCTATTCAATCTTTATCCTATAAACTTTGCCCAATTTACAAAACGATACTTTATGGTGACTATGAATCATGAAAATTTTAATTCAAAACACAGTACAATATTATTTATACATCAAATATATTACAGTATGTTATGCAAACGTCAAATTAATAATTATGACATATAAAGTGAATGAAATGTTTAGATAAGAACGGAACTATAGAAACCAGTAACAAACAGAGATTAATAAGTGAATTCTGTTATATATATATATATATATATATATATATATATATATATATATATATATATATATATATATATTAAAGACACATGCATTGTCTGGCCAAGGAATTTAATATGCTAGAAAGAATTATGCATGCTGTTTTTTACTGTTACTATAAAACATTTGATTTTCTTTTATTAAACTAAAAATGGATACAGACTATCTAAGATTCCCACTGGCATATGTCTGACTTGTCTAATAAAAACTAAACAATCATAAAAAATTTAATGAAAGTTAGTTCTTTCATCCTCTCATTATATTTTCCTTATAACATTTAAAATGAAATCTTCAGAGAAGCTTAGAATTATATACAAAAGGTTTATGAATATGATATGACCGTAAAAATATCTAATCACCAACCAGATACATCTCTGCGTAACTGACCTTAAAGTGCATTCTACGCATGAGAATTAGTAATAATACATTAGTATTAGGACTGAAAGAGGTCGAGTAATTCATAAGTTTATAGCCTTTTATATGAACAGAGAACACTTGAATCATCATAAAACCTTTTTTAAATAAGTATTTATTGAATCTATACCATATAATGAACATGTATTATTGAATAACGACAATGTTTATCATTGACTACCAAAGTAATTCACGATCCTTATTATATTAGATTATAGCATTATCCATTTATGCATACATATCCAACAGCGACTAAAAACTATTAGTCACAGAAGGCTACATACTGAAGTCACAATCTATACTTGTTATACACCCGACTAACTTCAATAAGTGACTGCAAATTTTATGAATGGTCTTGAGTTCAAAGAATCTTGGCCGGTTTAAAGTTTCAGTAATAAACAAATATTATATGTTGTTTGAACTTGTACGAAATATTAGTCTCAAATTACAATGTTATCAATTACCAAAAATGAATCTAAATTTATAAATTAAATCTTCGACGATTATTTATCATTAAATATATCAGAAAAGCGAAGTGATAAACGGTGTTTATTAAATCCACCAGTAAGTAGTAAATTGATTTTATAAAATCAGTTTATTGATTTACAAACGAAACTCAATTTATACTTTTGTCTTAATTTTTTGACATAATCAGCAGTATCAAAATGGTTTTGTGGAAATTGTAGTAATTTCAACAATTGAGATCATGAGTCAGTTTAAGCTAGACCACCCTGGAAAACCTGGAAGCAGAAGTGATCATAGGTCCTGGGTTCAAATTCCGCGAGGCGGGGTCGTGGATGCGCACTGCTGAGGAGCCTCAAAATAGGGCGAAACGGCCGTCCAACGCTTCCAGGT